TGTGACATTCAGTGGGCAATAGGCGTGTGGGTGTGTTGGGAGAGTTTGTTGGGCTGCCAAGAACCCCCTACCGGCCCGGCAGGAGAGGTGCGACTCTGCAATACTTCTGTAGGTTCTGTAGGCTCTGTAGGCTCGGGGCCTGCTCCTTTTAGCTCGCCATCGATACGTTAACAATCTGGCCTGGGCAATAGAACCAAGTTTAAATTAATTAGTTGATACTTTACCAGTAAATATTCTTAGTGTGCACACAAACAAATTAAATAGCACTAGCTGTACTATTAGCAGTTCAATACATTGATTCAGACAATAGGAAAATGATACATGATAAATTGAATTCATAGTCTGTATGAATGTTAATAATGTCACTGAATAAAATAAATGCTTTTACAAAGCTATTTAAAGTTAGGAAGTGCTTAACCCAAGTACTCAGACAGCTACAACAGTGATTGGGTAACACTGTTAGCAAGGGTACTTAAAATGTATAATTCAGATAAATAAACAAATATGGGTTCATGCAACATAAACTTTACATCATAGGCTTTCAAATAGTCTCATTTTGTTGGTTATATTTGACAGAAACAGGCATAAAGTTCGGCAACCAAAAATGCTAACCGCGACCATAGAAATGAATGGGCGCGGCTAAGCTAGCGTTAGCATCACAAACAAACACTCACCAGTTTCCGCGGACTACGCCGTTCAGATGCGCTTTTTGACACGGGTTTGGACTCGGTAGAAGGCTCCTATGAATGCACAATATAAGCCATGGATTGTCACACGAAATTATAAGTTAAAAGCACGAGGATTACCCCAAACTGACCTGCAGCTCGACTCTCATCCAGCCCCCAACAGCACCTAACACGCACTGAATCTCAGCGGCATCATAAGCGCCCGCGATTGGCGCGCAGCGTCACGTGATTGAATGACGTCACCGAGAGCATGATGACGATTGGTCTGGCGGACCCACGTGATTTGGTGACGCGGAGATCCCGCGAGACACGCCAAACACCGCGAGTTTTAACGTCCCATAGTGGGAGATAGGAGACACAGGTGTAGATGGAGAGAGAGAGAGAGAGATGTTTTGACAGGATTTAATCACCTGGGTTACACACAGGTGCCATGGCAACCTTTAAAGCCTTTGAAGTTTTGTGACCTCAAAGCGAAAGAACATTGTAGGTTTAAGTTAGTACACTACATTTAACAGATCAACTAGACAAGCACTTGTGAAATCTAGCAGTTAAAAGAGATAATCTACTTTATTTTCCATTGTAGATCCGCGGCGTCACCGTCCACATCTTCACTGACAAATACACACAACAGAGACCAAACAGCAGACCCCATGGACAAGTACGAAATAATAGAGACCATCGGGGAGGGCGTTTACGGGGAGGTCATGAAATGCCTCAATAAACAAACGGGGCAAATCGTGGCTTTAAAAAAGGTCAAAGCGTCCGATGGAGTAGATGACGTGGTAAACCAAGAGATTTCAATGCTCAAAGCAATCAGACATTTCGACCCGGATAAATGTAACTTCATCCGGTTTCATAATCACGTTCAATCTGTTGTGGTGGAGCACTACTTAGAGTTTGAGATGCTGGACCAGAGCGTCTGGGACCTCATGGTGAAGCGACACTACGCGGGGTTTTCGTTGAGCGAGGTCCGCACCATGGCCAGACAGCTCCTAGTCGCATTAGACAGTCTGCGCAGCATTGGGGTCATTCATACCGATATTAAGCCGGACAATATCATGTTAGTGGATCACACGAAGAAGCCGTTTAAGCTCAAGCTAATCGACTTCGGGTTGGCGATCCACAAAGAGACAGTGGAATTAGGCTGGAACATCCAGGCCCGATTGTACAGAGCCCCAGAGGTCATTTTGTGCCAACCGCTGACTGAAGCAGTAGACATGTGGAGTCTGGGGGTCTGTCTCCTGGAATTGTATCTGGGTGATGTACCTTTTTGCTCGCAATCGCCATACGATCACATCAGGCAAATTACGCATCTCCTCGGAGTTCCTGATGCTCAGACGATAGAACAGGCTGAGCGAGGGACCATCTTCTTTAAACAGGAGAGTGATGGCGAGTGGAAACTAAAAACGCCACAAGAATTTGCATGGTCGACACGTAAGGTTCCTAAAATGGGAATGAGTCCACTAGAGGCGGCGAGTGATCTAACACACGGCATCTTAGATTATTATACGGTTGAATCGTGGATCGAGTTCAACGACAGGGTTGCTTATGCGGATTTAATCACGAAAATGCTATGCGTTAATTCCGCAAACAGAATGAGTCCGGCTGGCGCTCTCCAGCACCCCTTTATCACCATGCAACATTTTAGCGGCTACCTTAACAACGCCCTAAACCTGATGACATGTCAGCCCTGCGCGAGTTCTGAGTCAGACATGGCAGCGCACGAGCGAGATAATCACGTTATAACTCCCATGCCCCCTCCCTGCGCCGACCAGAACTCCCAGTGTCACGCTAGAACGTCAGAAGGAGAAATCTGGTGTGGTACAGACGATATACATGATCCTGTAAACCACGCTGAAAGTAACGATCTGCGACTAGATTCTAAAATTGAACCTAATGAGGAGGATTCTACAGTTGAAATTGGGCAGTTACAGTTGACCGATTTATACTCAACTTCTTCAGAATCAGGAGAAGAAGCTGAAAGTTCAAACGAAGAGTTGGCTTTCTGTTCTTCTCCTATAGAAACCTATCTGGGAACCCTGTTAGGAACAGATGAGTCGGGCTTTGAGCCGTCAGTCGCTCTATGTTCTCCCACAATACATACTGTTGCTGACGAGCCAACTACAAGCCCACAATCTACGAACAACGCAATTTTAGAGGAGACTGTGGTCGACCAGCCTTCAGTAAGAAAGAGTCTTGCAACGCTCTTATTACCTGAAGAGCCGGGCTTTGTACCATCAGTTGTTCTGTATCCTCCTATGACCTGTACAACGGATACATCCCAAATGTCTACTGTCATAATCTGGCCTCCCACAAATCCAGTAACATCAACAGGGGAACCAAACATCTGCAATGATCAAACTGCGATCCAAGAAGCAGTAATCGTTTGGGATGAACCAAAGGAGGAAAACCTTCTGTGTACTTCTTGTTGCTTAAGTCTCTTTGAACCAGTGTTAAACTTCTTCACGTCCCCATTCTGTCTGTTTTCGGGGGGAAATAAAAAAAGAGGGGGGAAAATCCAGGATGTTTAAGACCTGGGGTAATGTGAGGGAGTTTCTTGTGAGTTAAATCACTGAACGGAACATTAGCCAAGGAATGTGAAGTTCTTTTGAGAAGGTTTGTTCAGGGTAAATACCCAGAAGAAAACTCACTTTGCTCCACCTTAGATTCTTCCCTTTCCTTTTGATTCTCTGGAGTTTTGGATGCAAGGAAACACATTATAATGGTGTGTCCCAAACTTTAACTACTGACTGACAATTTAACCATGGGTTTGCCCCTTGGTAAAAAAAAAAAAATAAATAAATAAAATATAGCCGCAAGCGGCAATGATCGGCCCTCGCGCGTGCTTACGCCGCGCTCCGCAAACGCCGCGCTCCGCAAACGCCGCGCTCCGCAAACGCCGCGCTCCGCGCCGCAAACGCCGCGCCCCGCAAACGCCGCGCCCGCAAACGCCGCGCCCCGCAAACGCCGCGCCCCGCAAACGCCGCGCCCCGCAAACGCCGCACCCCGCAAATGCCGCGCCTCACATTGACCCTACACTAAAGGTTTAAGCCTAAACTCAAACCTTACCCTAATCATAATCCTAACCATAGCCCCAACACTAGCCCTAAAAATCTTAATCTAACTCAGCAATTTTCTAAATTTGGCAAAAAAATAATAAAAAAATCCAAGATGGCGGACTTCCGGTTTGTAAAGGGGCGTGGTCACAATATACATTTTTGTTCTTATTGCCATGATGCATCTGGCTACCAAATTTGGTTTGGCTACACCAATGTTTGTGTAAGGACGTCCCATTGGCAAGGATACAAATTTGGCTTGTTGCCATGGCAACACAATGTAAGTTGTGAGAATCATTGAGTTTTTTAATCAAGAACATGTCACACATGTGGATACCAAATGTATATCTGTGACAAATAAAACCTTATTTTTACATACACATTTTCCAGGGGGCGCTATTGCAGCCATTTTTGTATTTTCGTACATCAGTCTGTTCAGGGTTGAGGTGTGAACTCATGATTCAAATTTGAGTGAAATCGGCCAAAGTTTGTGCAAATTATCACTGGTTGAAGTTTGATGGTGAGTCCCATGTCACGCCCCTGCCTGTGACCTGAGTCTTCCTTGTGTGGACGTGGGCGGAGTCTGCTGGGAGCACCTGCTCTCCATCTGCAATCAAGCCTGCTACAAAGACCCAGCTCTCCTGCCAGACTCTGCCAGATTGTTTCGTCTACCTGATGGTGATTCTACCAGTCGGCTCAGTTTTTGTTTCTACGTCGCTTCCTGTAACTTACCTGCATTTTTGTATTTCCTAGTTCCCGCTGTGGAAGACTCCGGCATTCCAGCTCCTGGCTCCTCGCTCCTCCACTGCCTATCCTGCCTCGTCAATAAACCTTTGTTTCTTTTTTGCA